TCAACACCATGATGCGTATCGAGGAAGAACCAACTTCAAGTTGCGCATCTGACTATGGTTCAGATACCGACGATGGAACCTCTAGTGAGACAGCCTACCAGGATTCGGCTCATATACTGGCAGAGAACCTCGGTATTATCGGTGCTACCATTGGCTACATCCAAGATAATTTCTTCGACTATGAGGTCCTTCCAGCTCACGGCATCGCGAAAGATCTCTTCCTGAGATGGACTTGGAAACATCAAGAAGACCTCATTCAATTAGGAGCCGGTGCAGGTACGAATGACAACACGCTGAGAGCCCTTTGCGATCCACTCCATAGACGTTCCCCCGACAACTTCGCCCGCTTCACACCAGAGATGCCTGACGAGAAGTCGCCAGCCAAGCAACTCCTCGTGCTATTTGAGGCTGCTGAGGACGCCAGAAAGCGCGCTTTAAAAGCCTACAGCGATCTCGTCGTTGTCTCCAACTATCCACTCCACCAGATGTTGAATTTTAGCCTGCCTAACCTGCAGCGTCCTCATTTGCCTCTTGATGGATCCTTCGTCTCAAAGTTCGACGATCTTTCGATAGTCGGGCATTACATTTCAAACGCAATGTCCAAGACTGATGAAGAGTCAGCAACCGAATATGAACAGATCAACAGGTCGATTCGTGAGGAAGAACATTTACTGATGAACAAGGAGTTTGAAATAAGAGTCGTCGGACTTCAGTCACTAAGCTTCAATTCGGAGACGAAATTCATGGCCTACCAACTGAACATAGCCCAGTCGAAATTGAACATTGCTAGACTCAAACACGACCGGCGTCTGATTGTTCGTAAACATGTCTCGCCGGCTTGCGACAATAGTCTCGGGACTGTGGAAAGTATATTCGATTTGGCTTCTGGGCTCCCGCGTATGGACATCATCTAGAGCCTAAGATTGAAAACAGAAAGCTATTGATATGTAGGGTTTGAGGAGCGAGTCTGCTTAGAAAATTGGAGAGGTATTCGAACGTTGTTCTGATAAATGCGCCCTTTGTCCACGGCACATTCTCACAGTTCATAATGCGTATGCTGTATTCGGGTCTGTTCAGCTTTGAACACAGCAAATCGTGTTAGTGTCGGTTTTGCCGGCAGTCTTTTGATAACCATCTGCGGAATTTATCATAAATTGTCTTGATTTTGGAAACACGAACATCATCTCTTGGAAAGGCATACCTGTTTGCAAGCATATTTCCCGTTGCAGAAAAATCCTTGCTCTGTGACCCAGGCTTTCGACGACTTACCTGGTGAGTGATTTTATTACAGATAGATTACGACTCCTCGAGCCAGCCAAGCGAATATCGCGACTTATCGTGCATCAGGCTGAATTCCAGATCCACACGCTCTATAAAACTTCTCACGTACCCGCAGAGACATTGCGGAATCACACTGGCATCTGGAGAGCAGTCTTCGATCAGCTATATCACATCGCTTTGACTAGAGGCTCATCATCTCGGTCAAACCATACTATTTCGGAGATGCGACTCTTTTTCCAAATCGCTGCGGTGTTCTTCGCGATAAGCAACTGCAGTTCTGCAGAAGCTCAAGTTGAAGAGGGCGCGGTCGGAGCTCTTACTCATGCACCTATTCTTCCACTGTCCAATAGCCAGACTCCAATGACTCGGACCGGTAAGTATATCTCCAGCAATCGCTATCCCATTGATCCTGACCGTAATCAGTGGAGGTCTCAACATCAGTCAAAGAATCAAATGCTCTTTCAGAGATTTACTCCTCGGATCTTACTCAAAGATCTTTTGTGAAGCGTGCGTGGAAGTTTCTTCCCATTGAGATAAATCTCGGCAAGCGCGTAGCTCGACCTGGCCTTGCCGTGGAGAATACAACTAAGCCTGCCGCCGAAGATGGTTCAGAGCACTGAGTAGCTTGTGTATCTGCGCACAATCGTTGGGCGTCGTGTGGCCAAGCAACAAGCATAGCATTGAGTGATGTGGGACGTCAACGCCACTTTGTAGAGAAACAGCTGATGATAAGAGGTGCTACTTTCTTCGAACAACCACTCCTTATGAGCACAAAGTATGTCAGACAAATTTGGATTCGCTCCAGACTCTCTGTCAGTTCCATTCGTTTCGAGAGGATTTTGCCCACGGGTACTTGTGAACAAAAGATTCTGCTATCGACGACCATAGCCGCGAGATTACTTAGAAGCTGATTCACGACTGAAACCTCTTAGGTCCTCTGGGCCGTTCTAGTATTGGAAGACAGAGTCTGTTCCATGGAAAAAGAACACCAGTGAGCGCAACTACCCAAAGTGTTGCATGGTGCGTGCCTTGAACTATTGTTACATCATTGCACGTAGGATCAAGTATAAACCTAAGGTGAAGCTCAGTGGGTCCTCCAAGGATACTGACAAAGATGACTAAAGTCCATGGTTGGCAAGTAGGCAAGAAGGGCGAACTTGAATAGTCGGGGACATGTGCAGAGGGTGTGGCTTTGTTTCGACGCGTCGAATATCGCAGCAAGGGTGGTCGGTATCCGCAAGCTATTGAGCGCATTGCTGACTCTTTTGTTCTAGTCCGATACGTTCTTGTCTTCACTTCGCGATGTGTATAGACTCCTCTCGACTGTCCGTTAGTAGGTCAAGGGTGCTGCCTGCTACCTGAGGTAGTCTCGCACTCCCTGACAGGAGTCATACCCAGTGAAAAAGGTTTGTCTGTTCCTCTTAGATGGCGGAATGGTCCCTAAGTCTGTTGTCGAGCCTGCTTCTGTGCGGCATACTACAATCCTGCAATAATGAAAGCTCAGAAGGAGACAGTCAACTGTGCTTGGTGACTGGCTACGGCTAACGTTTGACGGGGAGGCAACTGAACTAGACGAGACGGAGAGAAAGACGACGGCTCACGATCGGCCGCTCAACATTCGAGGGTGAGATTTTTGCACCATGCGAGGATCAGGCTAGTCAAAAAGTCTCGAGGACGAAGATGACGCGAGAATGCTAAAGCTTTTCTTCCGACTCGATGTTTTGTTGGTGTACAGGCACAGACAATATCTTAGTCGTTTGATTGTTGAGGAGTCTGCGAAAGTGAAATACCAAAAGAGCGCGCGAGTGCCTTTGCGACGGGGAAGGCCAGTATTTCGCCGAGAAAGACGAGCGAGTCAAAAGATCGA